CATCAGAAACAAATCCTGAGCCAGATGATTGCAGACACATTGGGCTACGTTTGCTGAACATCTAGAGATAGCAGGGTTTCCAAGGTGTGTGTGTTTTCAGGGGCTTTGGAGGGGTAGGAACTCAGGCACAGGAATGTTGGTGGGGTGCTTACAGAGCATTTCACATATATTAACTCATCTGAAGCAGGGCCCATAGTCTCATTTTACAGAGGAAGAATTGACCTAGTAGGTTGCAGGCCCGGGACTCAGATATGGATCTCTGACGCCAAAGTATGCACCAGGCTTGCTATTCTGCTGGGGATTCAAGAGGCGGAAATGGGCTTTAGTTACAGCAAGAATGCAAGGATTCAGTTCAGTTCAGTTGCTCAGTCGTGTCCAACTCTTTATGACCCCATGGGCTGCAGCACTCCAGTCTTCCCTGTCCATCACCAACTCCCAGAGCTTGTTCAAATTCATGTCCATTGAGTCTGTGATGCCATCCAGCCATCTCATCCTCTGTCGTCTCCTTCCCCTCCTGCCTTCAATCTTTCCCAGCATCAGGGTCTTTTCAAATGGGTCACTTCTTCCCATCAGATGGCCAAAGTGTTGGAGTTTCAGCTTCAGCATCAGTCCTTCCGATGAACACCCAGGACTGATTTCCTTTAGGATGGACTGGTTGGATCTCCTTGCAGTCCAAGGGACTCTCAAGAGTCTTCTCCAACACCACAGTTCATAAGCATCAATTCTTTGGTGCTCAGGTTTCTTTCTAGTCCAAGTTCTTTCTCACATCCATATGTGACTACTGGAAAAACCATAGCTTCAGATAGGCACAAGCAATCTGGGCAGCTTTCAAGACTCCTTGGAGCTCTGGGGACACAAGAATACAGACAGAGTAGGGGAGGGGTACCACGCTGTGGAGTTGGAGTCTTCCAAGGGCCTCAGTTTCCCCACTGGAATGATGAGGTTGGAAATGAGGTTCCCAAGGTCCCTTCTAGTGCTCAGTTTTTATTTGGGGTAGAGGTGGGTCCAGCTTCTCACATCCCCCAAATCATTCCCTTTTCCACTGCAGAAAAATCTTCAAGGAGAGGGGGGCTTTGGTTCAAGATGAGAGAGTCCTTAAATATTGCTGTGGAGGATAAAGCTGCAGATTCTCCAGGCACAGGACAGAAGAAAACGGAGCTAGAAGGAGGCCTCCGCCTTCATACCCATGGGCCTCAGTAGCTGTTTACATGTTCAGGAGGCCACTCCATCCATCTCAGAAGCGGCATTGGAAAATAACAACTGGGCAAGCTGCTGGCCCAGAGCCAGGCAGGCCCCAGCTTTTGGCACTCACTTCAAGGCCAGTGCGTGGGCCAAGGACATGCCGGCTGCTGGCTGAATTGGTTTAAAGGGAAGCGGGGAGCCCCTCTAGACTGCATCTCCTCAACCTTGGGGACAGCGGTAGAGAGAGGCATGGCCCATGGGCAGCCACATCCATTTTCTGTGCCATCCTAATGTTTTCATATCTGTGTGTGTTATGGCCTGAAAAGGGTTGGGGACTCTGCCCCTTAACATGGTCCTGTTTATTTTCTTCAAAGGACATATCACAACCTGTAGTTGTATTATTTATTTCTTACTTTTATATTTTCTATTTCTTCACTCAAAATGTGAGCTGCAATAGAGGAAGGGATTCTTTATCTTACTCCCAACACAGAGACCAATGCCTGGCACAGAAAGCACTCAACAAACAAATGAATGCACCCATGCATGCATACCTGAATTGGAGTCCCTTGCATGCAGTCCTCGGTGACCATCAGTTTTCTTTCTTGAGAATATTTCCCAATTAGTTTGGGGGAGGAGAGCTGGTTCTTTTTTGTTGTTGTTGTTTTTTGACTGTTGAGTTTTTTTTTTTTTTTTTACATTTATTTTTATTAGTTGGAGGCTAATTACTTCACAACATTGCAGTGGGTTTTGTCATACATTGACATGGATCAGCCATGGAGTTACATGTATTCCCCACCCTGAACGCGCCCGATCTCATCTGATCTCGGAAGCTAAGCAGGGTCGGGCCTGGTTAGTACTTGGATGGGAGAGCTGGTTCTTGAGATGAACCCTTCAGGAGATAAGCATTGTACAATGACTGAAAAAGGAGGGGAGGTAAGGATGGAGGTGGGGGAGACGGTACGGAGCCATGGGAGGTGGGTGTGGGGGAGCTTTTTATGATAGTGAGTCAGCTGGTCCAGGGAGGGAGGTGGTTTGTTAATCATTTGTTGTGTGGTCAGTAGCAAGCACAGGATAGCCTGCACCCTCCATGTGGCTTCAGGAAGGACATACCTCACACATCATTTTCTCAGCTGTCAAACGGGCCCTCATTCTGATGGTGCTTTTCTACCACATGGGGACTGTCATGAAGCAATGATAAGGTCACCAGTGGCGGTGTGCCAAGTGCATATGAACAATTTTTACTTTGGCAATTTTAGTAAAACTCCTAAAGGATTCATCTGTTATTCTCTTCTAGATTTTTCCCATCCTCAGCAGGCGACATGAGCCAATGCATTGCAAGTCCTGGCCTAAATTTTAGATCCCAAAGACTTTGCCTTCTAGCCAAAGACATGCACCTCCCCACTTACTGGGCCCTGGCTGGGCAAGAAGCTCCTCTTAGAGACCCCCGGGGCTGGGTGAACCGAGGAGGGGCCCTCACACTCTGCCCTCCTCTCCCTCAGGTACAAGACAGTGGTGACTCCTCGAAGGGCTGTGGTGGCCATCACTGGCTGCTGGGTTCTCTCCTTTGTGGTGGGCCTGACGCCCATGTTCGGCTGGAACAACCTGAGTGTGGTGGAGCGGGACTGGCTGGCCAATGGCAGCGTGGGCGAGCCTGTGATCGAGTGCCAGTTCGAGAAGGTCATCAGCATGGAGTACATGGTCTACTTCAACTTCTTTGTGTGGGTGCTGCCCCCACTGCTGCTCATGGTCCTCATCTACATGGAGGTCTTCTATCTGATCCGCAAGCAGCTCAACAAGAAGGTGTCGGCCTCCTCTGGAGACCCGCAGAAGTACTATGGGAAGGAGCTGAAGATCGCCAAGTCGCTGGCCCTCATCCTCTTCCTCTTTGCCCTCAGCTGGCTGCCCCTGCACATCCTCAACTGCGTCACCCTCTTCTGCCCTTCCTGCCGCATGCCCAGGATCCTCATATACATCGCCATCTTCCTCTCACACGGCAACTCGGCCATGAACCCCATCGTCTACGCCTTCCGCATCCAGAAGTTTCGAGTGACCTTCCTTAAGATCTGGAATGACCACTTCCGCTGCCAGCCTGCACCCCCTGTTGACGAGGATGCCCCAGCAGAGAGGCCCGATGACTAGACTCCCCCTCCCGCCCCCCCTTGCCCGTGTCTGGGGCGTCTCAGCCCAGGGCTCCCCTCCCTGCTATCCCACTCGTCCCCCTTGTCTCTCCCTGCTGCGGGCTGTGGGCTGTGGTTGTGACCCGCCCCTCACGGTCCTGGGGGAGGTGTGGGAGGTCAGTCCAAGGGGAAAGAGCCAGGTAACCTGAGGGAAAGAGGAAAGTGGCTCGTGCTTCCCCATCCGCAAGATCAACCCAAGGCAGCCTGAGCCGGCCTGAGACCCTGAGACTGCCCTGGGACCACATAGGCCAGAAGAGCAAGCTCAACCCCCACAGCAGGCAGGACAGCGGCTTGTCTGACTTAGGTGCTGGGGTTGCAGCCCTGGGACCCAGCTTAAGGAGAGAAGCTCCCTACCAAGACGGAGAGGAGAGAAAGAGAGAAAGTGGATGTCCTGGCCTTGTTTTCTCTCCTGTTCTGCAGGAGAAGGTGGCCAGAGCCACTGACAGGCAGGAATCAAGATGCCTTTAGTCCCCACCTCCCACAACCCTGTGTTCCTGGCCATGATGCTTGCCAGGAGGCCTGCTCTCCTCACCACAGGGATTCCAAGGTTATACTTGCGAGAGGCAGAAAGAACGGGTCCAGAAACAATTTCCAGTATTTGCTTTATTCTCCACTAGCCCTTGGGCCCTGAGTGGGGGCTCCACGCCCCCTGGAGCTAGTGTGGAATGGTAGGTGTGGGTCTCAAACAGCCACAAGGCAGAAGCATTGAGCCCTGATTCTTGCCCTGAGCATCCCAAGTAAGAGAATGAAGTGTCACGGCTTGTCACCTGGGCCACCAGCCCTACCAGTCCTCTGTGCTGGGCACCCTCCTAGGTGACACCCTTCTTTGCTGCTTCTGGGCCAAATAGCGAGGGGAACTCCAGACCTGTCAACTCTTGGGAACATGCTGCATGCCTGGGGAGGAGGCAAACAAGAGAAGGTGAGCTGCCATGGGCACTGTGGGATGAGTGTGACAGGCTGCTCAGGCCGGAGGAGATTCCCCTCCGGAGAGCGTGGACAGGAAGGTCTTACCAGATTTTAAGTACCCTCAGCACCCCTGGCACTTAGCACTATATTCACGGGCTTTGAGGATCTGTTGCAGAGTCTAGGCCTTTACACTAGACCTTTCGGAAAGGGTCTACTCCTGGCCCAAACCAGAGCTCCTCATACAGAGGAGTGAGGGGCCAGGTTCTAAGTGTGAACAGTAGCTCCAGGGCTGATTCCAGGCCCTTCCCTCTCTCAGGCGGGATGTCCCCTGGCTCCCAGGGAGGGTCACTTGACTAATAAAAGACTGTCAGCCCTCATGGAGAATGCACCCCACCACTGAGGGAAACAGACAACCTTAACAGAGAGAAATCAGTGGTGGTGTCTGGGGAGAAATAAAGGGAATGGGAAGGGCATGCAGGCATTTGGAGCAAGGAGGGTTCCAGAGAAGAGGGTGTCTGTTCCTGTAGTTATCCTCTAAGGGCAGCAAACTCTGAATGTGAAACAAGATCCTAAAAGATCTCATATCTGGAAAACCCCCCTGAGATCATGGGTCCCCTCCCACTGAACCTTCCTCATGGTGTCAGAGGTGGAGACTCCCCCATGGGGACATATTCAGCCCACCCTCCTGGGGACACAGTGCCCATCACGCTGACCTCACTGTCACAGAGGCACTGCACCATAACACCAAACACCTTTATTCAAGTGCTTCCGACCCAGCATATGACTCTGCAGGAGGGCTCCGATCTTTGCACCTTCCAGGGCTCCTAGTGTCTAGGAAGCCTGTCCAGGGGCCTGCTAGGCCCGCTCCCAGTGGAGGGACAGAGGCGAGGCAGGTACCAAGGAGCAAAGCCATCAGCTGTCACTATGACGTGAAGATCTCGGGCCTCTGAGGCGCTCGACTCTGGGCCTTGTGACCCTGACCCCTCAGGCCTGAGGCACCTGGCAGAGAACATTTCACGAGCCCCACTGTCAGACAGAGCTCGGCGACATGCGCCTGCTGAACAGGTGATATGGGGGAGAAGACCTCCCTTCCCCGCCCCCCTCCCCTCAGGCTTTAGACCCGCGGCCCAGGCTCCAGCTCTGCCCCCGCAACTCTAGGGTACACCCTCACCCTTCAGAACCTCAGATCCACCTGGGAAGGGCAGTCAGGGCACGGTTGTTGCTGCTACTTTTCTGGCTGAGGAAATTACCCCATGGGGATGCCCTGGCCTGAGGCCATTCAGAGTCAGGACTAGAGCCTGCCCTGTGCCCGTCCCCTGGATGCCCATGCCTTCCAGGCCTTGCCAGCATCACCCTACTGTGCTGGGTCTTCAGAGCACCACCGGGACTGTGCAGGTACCTTTGCCTGTGGCTGCAGATTTATGCTCAGAGCTGACTGCCACCCTCCCTTCTTAAGCCCACCCCTGCCCCAGGCCTCCACCCCCAGAGGCAGGAGAGGGGGTGCAAGCAGTTACTTACCTTTCTCCTCTTCACAGCTTCCACCAGAGGCTCCTCAGTGTGTGGCTGAGGCTGGGACAGACCTGAAGGTTAGAACTCAGGGAGGGGGCGGGTGTCTGCTGGGGACCCAAGTGCAGGGTGGGAGACAGTGAATCTCACACCCTCACCCCAGTGAGCTGTGTGTCTGCGAGGCAGACTCCAGCCCTCCTTTTCCCACACTGGGCCATCCTCCCTCTTGGAAAGTCCTCCCAAGAGCCTGACCTCTATCTTTACTACCCTCATCTTGCCTTGATTTTCAGTGCTCAGCCTCATCTAGTCCAAAAGGAGAAAACATGGCTTCTCCTGGTCTCCCATGCATCAGAAGATTCCTAAAAAGCAACCTCTCTAGTCCTCACCTTTCACCTCCAGCCGGCAGTCCACAGACGCCTCCCCCAGCACATTGATGGCCTTGCAGGTGTAAACTCCCGAATCAAAGGGGCTGGGTTTCCGGATCTCTAGGGTGCAGACACCTTGCTCAGAGAGAGCTCGGTATTTGGGATTACCCTGGATGTCCATCTTGTTTTTCATCCAGATGATCTTGGGCTGGGGGAGCAAGGTCAGAGAGAGCTGGGAAGGGTGTGGGCCAGGATGAAGCCCCCAAAGGCCACCTTCAGGCTTAGGCAGAGTTGTCTGGAAAGACTGCAGCCCCAGTGCCCCTGCCCTCACCTTGGGTGAAGCTCTGACGCTGCAGGAGAGCTGCGTGCTGTAGCCGGGGGTGGAGGTGTGGTCGGCCAGGGGCTGAGTGAAGGAGGGCGCTTCTGAGAAGTCTCGCTCAACAAAGCTTTTGGGTTTGGCAACAACATCTGGTTTCGGGAGAAAGAGGGGATGAACTTGAGGTTACAGGAGAAGACCTCTTAAGACTGACCTCATCTGTTTTCCTGAAATAATCACTATAGCTTACACCTAGGTATCCCATTTAATCTACACAGCATTCCTTTGGAAGGATACATTTATCACCCCAGCTAACAGATGGAAAATTAAGACCTTTCATGGATAAGGGACTTGCCAATCTCACATAGTGAGTTTATGGCTTAAGAGGTGGAAGGTCACATGATGATCATGGCTCTTTAAGCAGAGAGCTGGTGGTCTGGAGGAAGATTGAGGGCAGGTGACTATCCATTTCATCCCTGCCTCCACCTCTGGAGCCCCATGGCAGGACCCCAGACTCCTGAGATCTTTGGGAAGCCAGGCACAGCCAACATGCAGGAGCTTAGAGACAGAGTATCTCAGAGAGGCATAGAAAAGCCAAAAGGATGGCTGGGTGAGTCACAGAGGGAGGCAGGGAGGGGAGTGATACTGACTGAGGGTGGAGACTAAAAACCCAGCGAGTCCACATTTTATTTCTCTTTGTCTTTGGAGACTTTACTGGCTTTCTATTTTTAAACAAAAGCTTTTTCTTAATTCTGTGCAACTTAGGCTGGTGTTTAAAAGTGTGCTTTCTGCAGCCCACACAGACTATGTGCGGCCCTTAGGCCCAACATCCAGGTGACATGCAAGGTGACGGGGAGAAAGGACTGGTAATTTCACATTTGATGCAAGAGGACCATGTGTGTATGTAGAAGCAGTAAATACCCATATCTCTGTTGTCCATCTATGTGGTGCTATATTAGGGTTGGGAGTTTGCTTTTAGCAAACTCACCAGTCTACCTAACCACACACATTGTCCTTCAGAGTGGTTCTTGGGACACTGTACGTGAGACCCAGTGACTGCTATGATGTTGGCAGCCATGTGGCATCTTTAGTATAAGTGCAGTCTCCCAAGGGGTGCTGCTCATTTGCGTGGTTTACTCTGATGTGTTTGTTACAATCAATCAACCACATCCATTTCTCACAGTCACTCTATTAACGTGTGTGTGTGCGTAGCGGTGGCCTGGGTGTGGAGAAGCAGCAAAAGTTCTGGCAAGTGGACTCCCGTGAGACGTAACACAGGGAGCGGTGCTGACACTCCAGGGGAAGGGAAGAGATGGGCAGAAGCGTCAGCATGGCGATGCCTGGCTCGGTTTCTGGTCTTGGGCCCAGACCCACCTGTCTTTACGATGTGGGCAAGCTCCTTGGTGACGGCTGCTGAGGCGCTGAGCCCACACAGGTTCTCTGAGAAAACTCGGAAGGAGTACGAGTTACCCACGATGAGGTCGGAGACGGTGCAGGTGGTGGGGTGGTAGCGCTCCAGCACCGTGAACCATCGCTGCAAGAGCCGGCCCCGTCATCCCCACCTGCACACGCCCTCACCCTCCCTGCGCCCCCGGGGCCTCCTCCTCCGAGGGGCTTGCTCCACGTCCCATCCCTGGGACTTGGAATGCGGAGAAGGAACTCCTGGGAGAAGGTGATCTCTCTGGGGACCTCAGAGAATTCTAGAACCTTACTGGTCAAAATGTGGCCAGATGACCTGCAAAGTAAGAATCACCTGGGACCTTCAGAGAAGTGTAGGATCTCAGTCCTCACCTCAGACCCACTGAATTAAGACCTGCATTTTAGCAAAATTCCCAGGTAATTCACATGTACATTACATTTCCAGAAGCACTGCTTTAGAGCTTGAAGTGCCCCAGAGAACCGCCCTTGCAGTCTTCAGAAGGAAACCGAAGTCCAGAGATGAAAGAGATTTGCCAAAACCCACACAGCGAGTCCGGTTGGCAGTGGGCAGACCAGCAGTCCTCGGTCCCGTACCCTCACCCTCTGTGGGCAGGCCTTCCCCACCGCTCAGCCGCTTCCTCCCCCAGCCCCGCCCCCCTGCTCAAGCCGGCCTCACCCCCGTCTTCTCGTCTGCCTTCTGCACTGTGTAGCCCAGGAGCTCTGTGTTGCCTGTGTCCTGGGGCGGTGTCCACTCAAGGGCAGCGTTGCAGCTCCAGACATCCAGCAGTCTGATGCTGCTGGGGGGTCCAGGTTTCTCTGCAGGACCAGAGAGTGAGGAGGAGGGCTGGGCTCGCGGCAACCCCACCCCCAACACGATCGGGCTCCTATCGCTCTCTCTGGGCCTGACCCTCTTGACCATCAGTCCTGGGGCAGGAGGAAGCTCAGCCCTTGCCTCCCCTGGTCCCATACCAATCACCAGGATGTTGACGGCTGCCTTGGCCTCCAGGCCTTTCAGCTGCACAGTGAGCTCATAGCAGCCCGAGTCGGAGCGCTGGGCTGAGCGGATGAAGAGGATGGAGTCCTGGTCCCCGGTGCGCACGCTCACCCGCTGGCTGTCCAGGGCATGACCATTGTGGGTCCACAAAACCTGAGGCTTGGGATTCCCCTGGGAGGGAGGAACTCGCTGAGTGGGAGCAGAAGGTGCCAGGCCCCCACTCCCACTGCTCCAGGGTTCTCTGGAGCTGTGCTCAAGGGAGCTGGCCACACTAGCCTTGCCTAGGAAGGGCAGCAGTGGCTAGAGCCACAGGTGCCTCCTAGAGCCTCACTGTCCGGTTGTCCAGCTGGCCCCGGGGCCACCTGTCCTATTTGCCGGCTGGGGAATCGACTGAGTCATGTGCATCTTGATGGGTAGGTCTCAGCAGACCTCCAAGGGAGCCCTGACATTTCCTGGGCTCCTCTGATACACCTCAGGGGGGCCCTGTATTTCCACCCAAGTGCTTAACCTGGGAGGGAGGCATACCCACCTGGAAGGGGATTTGCAGGTTAATCGACTCTCCCACCTGGCGAATGTAGGTCTGACGAAGGTGGCGGGGAACACGGATCTTGGGGGCCTCTGCATTAGAACCGAAGTCTAGGCTTAGTACAACAGGGGACTGGACACACAGTGAGGCTGCGCCCCGCAGGAGGGCTCCTGGGACGCTCTGAGGCTGCCCCCTTGTGGGCAGGGCAAAGCTCACTTCCAAAGTTCAAGGGCCAGAATCCCCTGAGGCCCTTGAGGAGTTGAGAGACAGGAGGTTCCAGGAGGGCAGGGCCTCCACGGTGTGAACTGGTAGGCATCCTAGGCACTCCCTTGGTGCCCCAACCCTGCCAGGCTGGGATTTGTCCTGCAGCCCTGGCATTCCTGACTCCAGATGGGCCCTGCTGGCTCCCTGGCTCCCCCTGGTGGGGAGCGCGTGTGCACCTGTCGCCCGCGTTCCCAGGAAGGGTGCCCAACTCTGTCTCCTTCCTAATGCCTCTGCCTTCAGAGAGGCCCCTCTGAGACCTGTTTGCTCATTGCCCTGTCCCCAAACCAGGTGAGAGGACTGGGGCCTTTCCCTTGCTAAAGGGAGCCAGAGCAGGCACACCCCCTTCCTTCTCTTTTCCCTCCCACTACCTTTCAGTCTGCGGTTGGGAGTTCCTTCCTGACACCTAACTTCCAACCCACGCTCTGGTGGAGAACCACCTTCCCGACCATCGCCTCACTGGGTGCAACCGCTGGAGCTGCTGGGCGTCCCCGGGGAGCTGGAACAGCCCCGCGGCTCTCTGCCTAGGCGGGCGGGGTGGGGAGGCTGAGGCCCCTCCGTGGCAAGCAGGTGGCCACAGTCGGTTAGTGGCGTGCGGGGCAGGAAGGGAGGAGACAGTGAGAAGGAACACGGTGTCTCTGAGGATTAGCTGTGCAGGCACTTGGCCCTGGGAGCACCAGGGGTGGAATGTTCCAGAGGCAGCTGCAGGGGGCCAGGAATGCTTGGCAGTTCCAGGTGGCTGAAGAGGGACAGCTGAGCAGCTGAGGACTCTAGACAGGGTCCCCACCCTGCCCTGCCCCTGAGAAGGGCCTGGCTGCTCCCTGTTTACTCACGACCTCCTCCTGCTCTCCTCTCTCCAGGAAATCCCCTTCTTTCTTGCCAGAGGCATTTTAATGGAGTAGTGGGTGCTGAGTCTAGCTGACTCCTCCAATGTTAGGCCTTGCGGTTGAGGGTCCTGGCCCCTGCAGGTTCTCAGACTCCAAGCTCCCTGTGCCGTCAGGGAGGGTCCAGGATGCCTGCCAACGCCCCTTTCCCCACCAGGAGGGCTCCCTGCCACTTCCAGGCTAGAATCATACTGAGCTGCCAGGTGGGACTATGTCTCACCTAGACTCAAAGGACGGACATGTCCTCTGGTTTTGAAATTCACCAGAAAAGATTGCTTGCCACCTGGTGGGACAGGAATGGTCTTGTGTGGGAGTCAGTTCTGAAACTGCCACTAATAGTCTGGGTGACCTCAAGGGAGTCCTGGGGTGCCTTGGCTTGGATGGACCAGCCGTGACAATAATTCTGTATTGCTTAGCCCTGTGGTTCCTACATCTCTCAGGCCTTAAAGGTGAAAGTATTTCCTTGAATCCAAACTTGACTCCCTTTTGTGGCCATGAAGTCCCTCTTTCTGGAGGCCTTGTCCGGAGCTGCGGGGTGCCCCTCTGCCTCTGGGAGATAGGAGGGCAGGACAAGCAGGAAGGTGGAAGAGGCCTCGGGCCACCTGCTGGCCCATGTCTCTTGTCACTCTGGGGCTCTGGGCTGTCCCCAGAGATCTTGGATCAGACCAAATGACTCACTGCCATTAACAGACTGAAACCCGATCAGCCCTGGGAGGGGAGCAAGGGTAGGCTTGAGGCTAATGCACCCTACAAATAGAAATCTTAGCAAGGAGACAGCAGCTGGGCTCCCAGGTTTCCAGTTCAGCACTGGCTTCTGGGGATGGAGAAACTTTCACAGGTCTTTTGCAGGGTGTTCATCTTCTTTCCACTAGGGACGTGGTACAGTAAGAGGCAAACAAAGACTTTTCTCTGTTCCAGACCCTTTGGGAGAATCTGGAACCCAGGTCATAGGAAATGAGCAGAAAATGGGCTTCTATGGCTGCTGAAGGGATTATGATTAGATAGGAAGAATGAAATGACTAAGTGTTGGGACTCTGAGGCAGGTGACCAGGGCAGCGTGAGCTTTTGTTTCTGGGGGTCGTGAAGCCCTTCCTCCAATGCTTGCGAGCTGGACCACCCAGAAAATTGGCCTCTTTGACCTCCAGAGACTCCTTGCTGCTGAGGAACCTGGAACTTTCTTAAGGCAAGATGGCACTAGCAGGTGGCTTATGCATGTGAGTGTGGGGAAGCGACTACCCCTCGGCCTCCTTTTCTCCGTCCATTAGCTAAGGTGCTTGGGAAGGGCTGGGGAGCAGGGATTGGCTTTACCGATGGTCTCCTGGATGTGGACAAGCTGCTCCAGCACCGCTGGTGGGCCAGCCCCTGCAGAGCTCACTGCAGCCACGCGCACGAAGAACTTGTCACCTACAGCCAGGTTCCGCACAGTCAGCTGGGTCACCATCATGGGCCGGACATTCACAGGCACCCAGTCCAAGGCTGAGAGGAATGAAGACAGTACAAGGCCCTGGCCCCGTGGCTGCGGGCACCCTTCTCAGTGGAGCTTCCCTTCTCACTGATGGTCTGAGGAAGAGGGCCTCCCTTTCCAGGCCTTATTTTCCTTTTGCTCCCCCTCCCTGACTTCTCATGTGTCAAATGGCATCAGTGACACCTTGTGTCAGAACCCTTGAATGGTGGCCAGAGATGGGGTTGCTGAAGCCCAGAGAGGCTTGGACACATTCGCCAAGTCGCACAGCAAGGCAGGGCCAAAGGCAGGAGCCAGCCTGAACTTGCCTGCTGCGGAAGTGGACAAGACGGCGGCGCACGAGGTGGCGGCATCAGGAGTTTGGCCACAGCCTGGCTCTTTTTCCTCACTGTCTCTTGTTCTAACTTAGCCCTCTTCCCCAGCTTCTCTACAAGCAGGGTCCTCTGAGACTCAGCACCTTCTTAGTTCCTACAGAGGAGAACCCCAGTGTCACCGACCCTTTTATTCTCGTTACACAGAGGCTTCCTGGAGCTGGAGGACAAGGCACCTGCTGAGGTCCCTTGGATACCCTTCTGCTTTCAGAGGTGTGTAGGTGAGCAAGACGCTGTCCGTGAGGCTTAAGCAGACTGCCTCCACTCCCTCTCTGCATCTCCCTCTGGAGGGCTTGTCCCTACTGCCCCCCAGGCCCACCTCCCCTCCGTATATGAGGGCTTAACCCGGAGCTCACCTCCCTCTCGACGGAGTTCCAGCACATAGCCCTGGAGCCCCAGCCTCCCCAGGCTCTCTGGAGGCTCCCAGCTCACAGTCACAGAGCTGTCACTCACATCCTCCACGGCCAGCAGCAGCGGGGCACTGGGGACATCTGAGGGAAAAGCGGGGGCGGGGGTGGTGGTGAAGGGGCTTGCAGCCGAGCCCTCGCCCCCCACCGCTCCCTGGCATGACTGCCTCCACCCTCCACCCGCCCCAGCTCTCATCACCTTCACGTGGAAGTGCAGGGTCAGTGGCTGTGGGGGCTGCGGGGGCTGCAGACGCTTCGGGCTCAGGAGGCTGAGGGGCAGACTCCTGTGGTTCAGAAGCCCGCTCTCCCCCGGGAGCCTGCTTCCCGCCAGGAGCCTGTGGAGCTGCCGTGTCTCCAGAGGGCCCTGTGGGGGGCACATGTGCAGATTCAGAGGCGGTCTCCTCCAGACCACAGGCAGGGGCCTCCGAGGTGGCTTGTTCTGTCATTGCAGTGCCTGCTGGAGGGTCAAGCTGGAGTGTGCAGGTATTAGCACTGGAGGAGCTGAGCTTCCAGGGTGCCCGGGACTACCTAGGTCCAGTCTTATATAGTCAGGGGGCTGCCCCACCCCCAAGCAAATGTTCCCAGCTGTGGGGTCAGGTCAGGCAGGGGGACTGAAGGGAGAGGGAGGCGCCTAGGCCAGGAATAGCTCTGGGGGAGGAACTGCAAGGGTCCCTTGAGGAGCGCACAACCTTGTCCATCATCCCGATTGAATCTTAGAGACAGGGTTCTTGTGCCCAGATGGGAGGAGGGCACAGATCAGTGAGATGGGATGTTGCCAGGAGCCTGTGCCAAGGGTCAGGGCATTGGGAACAAGAGCTTCCATCTGGATAATGAACCCAGATCAGGCTGTGTGTGTTTGGCCTCTGTGGGGCCACTGGTGCTCAGGGCTTCTCGCTTGGGTGCACACAGCCCGAAGCAGCCTTCTCTTAGAGCACTCCCAACTTTGTTCCTGGGGTCGCACACTCCCCTAGTCCTCACATTCCTTGGGAATTCTCATTTGGGCTGTATGAGGCTGAGGGCCTAGAGAAGGAGGGAACTGAGATGCCCAAAGTGGGCTGGATTGCAGGAAGTCTCCTAGCAATGGGACCCCAGAAAGGGAGTCCAAGGCCCCAGGTTACCCAGCCTCTCAAATTCCTGCTCTGGACCTCAGTTTCCTCATCTGTTACAGAGGGCACTATGACAGTCCCCTAGTCCTTGGGGTGAAATCAAGTTGTAAGACAGATCTGGAAGAGATATTGGAGGAGGACAGCACTCGGAGACTTCTAGAGTCCTCGAAGCAGAATATGGCATGGACATTTGCATGCCACGGGGGAAATGAGGCAGGTGTGGCCAAATTTCTAGTCATTGAGTTATTCATCCAATAAAACATTAAGATTTGTTGCTGGCAGGAGTGTAGATGGGAGCGATCTCTGAAAAAAGTGAGATGGTATCTAGTCAAACTGAAAATGTGTGACCCAGCAGTTGGTCCCGGAAACATGCATGTAAACATTCACAGCAACATTGTTTATAACATTAAACCTGGAGAACACAGCTCTGCCTCAACAGAGGAATGCATAAATAAGTGGCGTGTATGTGTACCTATAAACCAAAAATGGAATAAAATGAGCAAACTTCAGCTGCACGGTTGGTCTAACAGATATAACGGGGAGCCAAAGAAGCTGGGCACAGAGAGTGATGTGACCCCACTCATACTCAATGCAAACATGGGCAGCAACAGCTCTCTTCTTCAAGGGGCATCTCTAGGAGATGAGACCACAAAAGAAGGCAAGGAAGATTAGGATAATGCTTGCCTCTGGGTGGAGGGACAGAGATGTGGAGTTTCAGAGGCACAAATGAGGTCTTGTTTCCTGTCCTTGGGTAGTAGTCATACAGGCTTTCACTATATAGTAATTCTTTAAATAAAAAAAAAATACATTTTGTGCGCTCTTCAGCATGTATGATATATCCTACCATTTTAAAAACAATGCCTGTGTAATTTATTTCAAGCCATCAGTCGCGTTCACACTCTGCCCCTTCCCCAGGGCTGGGGGCACAGGAATGTGGCCACGTCCCACGGTGGCTGTCCTTGCTGGGAAGGGCAGTGGAGGGCCTCAGGAGCCTCTTGATCCTGCCCTGCTCGGGTGCCCGAGCCCTCTGCTGGGTGAGTCAGAGTCCTGCCGGGCGAGATGCAGGTCCTGGAGACCCGATCCCCATCCCTGGCCTCTGACTCTGCAGCTATAAGTGAATGTGACTAACACAGCAGGACCCTGAGTCAGCCCTGCAGAGCCTGTCCCAGGATGGGGGAAGGGTGGCTGGGGGGAGGTGGAGAGGGGGTTAGCTGCACTGGAGGACTCACAGCTCCTGGGATTTCAGAGCCCCCCGTGTGGTAGGAGGGCTGTGGGCACAGATTGGGAATGCTGGGTCCACTGGCCAGCAGTGAAATGCCAGGCACCCTTGAAGCTCTGGCCAAGTTCTCACTCTCTTTGCCTTTAGCTTGGCAGTGACCTTGGGATTAGTTGCTCCTGCCCTGCTCCAGCTAGTTCAGATTTCAGGAAGGCCGATAGATATTTCCTTTCCCCACACCTCACTAGTGCCACAAACCACTGGGCCAAGTCTCAGATAATTCAAACATCTGGGAATCCACAAATAAATTCTATTTGATTTTGGAGCATGTAGATGAACTCTCTTTGGATACAAAGCTTGTCTGAGGCTCTCGGAGTGTGCAGGAACTGTTAAGAACATCTCTACTTCATGAAGGCTGGAAGCCTGGCTGATCTTCTGAGCTCGTCCTGTCTGACCCACACTGTCCCATCCAGCCCCCACCCCATGTCCCAGGCGAGGCCAAGGAGCCTTGATTTCTGCATGGGCTGAGGGCTGAGTGTGTCCTGAGAGGGGAGAGACAAGAGGGCTAGGCTACAGCCCTACGACATCTGACCAATTTCAGTCCAGCAATGAAAAAGGCTCCTCTAAGGTAATGAGCAACTGGTCACTGAAAGTGTTAGGGGAGCTTGGAAGGCCAGTTCTCAAGGTCTGCAGAGATTCTAGATCTGGGATTGTGGGAAAATGTGTGAGGTAACATTGGTGTCTCCTTCTAACTCTGAGTCCCGGGTCAGGGCTCTGTCTAACTTGGCCCTATATTGGCTCCTATCCCTCCCCAGAGTGAGAAGAGATGAAGTGCTGGGATTAAAGGGTTTCCTTCCTGCTAGCTCCTGGAAACAGAAAAGGCTTCTTTCAACAAAGAACCATATAGAGAAGTCTGGATGACAATGACTTTAAGATCTACAAGGCCTCCAGCACTCTTGGGTTAAGTCCACAACTGATGGATCTAGTGATGCTTGCCCTTTCGGGGGATGCCCTGGAGGCAGCACAGGACAGGGTGGTCTCACTTTCTGCCCCTCAGGGCTCCCAAATCTGAGAGAAAGGAATCCTGAAGAGAGGCGGGAGGTGAGCCCAGTGGGACCACAGATGCTGAAGCAAGCGCCAATAACAGGTGAGCCCTGGTGCTTTATTGAGCAGGTGCAGAACCAGGAAGGGGAAGTGGGATGGGGACACAGTTATGTTCCCGGGAAAAGGTTTCAAGCTGGGCTTTGCAGACGGTGTAATTAGTGTGGCTGCTGCTTCTCGTAAAGCTGTGTGTCGGCAGAGCTTGCCAAAATGGCGTCCTTAGGCATCAGGCCCCAGAAGTAAGCGAGGGGAAGAAATCTCCCAGTGTTGGGCTTGGCATTGCTGAGCATTCTCGTTCGTCAGCACCTGCTTGCTGACCCTGCACCGTGCACTGTGCTGCCCCGCAGCCCCCACCCCAGCCTGCCCCCCAACCAGAGCTGAGCTCCGATGGCAGAGCCGTGGCCCTCACACGGGCCCAAGGAAGGGGGGCGCTCAGCGGGGCCCCAGCAGGGCAGGAGGTCAGGCTTCCGGTCAGTCAGGGCCAAGTGTGAGCGGCATCTCTGCCCACCGTGAGCCCAAGGGCAGACGGCTACACCCCAGCAAGCACATCCTTGATGGCACTCGTGAGAGGAAAGGGCAGGTTCTGCCCACAGAAGGTGCCCCGGAAGTCGTCCAAGTCCAGGGCCCACACCATGGCGCCAGCCAGCTGCCTGTTCCTCAGGTACCGCGCCTGGTGGGGAGACCCAGGGCCGGTGTGGCTGGGTTCCCTGTGCCAGGGTGCACGTGGGCAGGGCATACCATCTAGATGCCTCCGCAGGGAAGAGGAAAGCAGACACCCGGGACCTGAAACACCCCTGTAGCCAAGCCCCACCCTCAGTGCAGGGGGCGTCCCTCCCGCTCTTCATCTGGGGGGTGTGGCCTTGTGAACATACCTTGTTTTTGACGCTCTCCTGGTCGTCATACGCTACCCACTGGTTGCCCTTGGTGGCATAAGGGACCTGCTGATCACGAAATCTATGGACAGTGGCTCCGTGGAGGAAGTCACAGATCTGAACAGAGAACAAGGCAGGGGTGGCTGTGGAGCTGTGCTGAGAGGTTGCCAGTCACTGGGGGGATGCTACTCCCCAAATCTATTCCTGACCCTTGCTTCATCCTGCAGGTTGCACCTGCCCCTAGAACCTGCAGGTTTCATGCAAATTTACTTAAAACAGATGCAAATATTCCGGGGTTCTGTGGCTGCTCTGCACTGAAACTGAGGACTGGCCAAGGCAACTCAGAGCATCAGAGGTTGGGTCAAAACAAAAGAACCTACCTCTTGGCCGTTGCTTTTTCCTTGGCTAAAAGGAAGGCCCCAACTTGGTGGCCAGAGGGGATGAAGACGTGATGTGCCTGCCCTCCTCCTCCCGCTTCTCCAGAGTGCTAGGTCTGCTGGAATTTTTTTTTTAAAGGAGTAAACTGTTTTGGGGTGATTTGGAGGGTCAATTTCCCCAGGGCTGCTGATGCTGTGGGAGATCTTACCTTCTTCCTAGCTCATACCTCATAATAGGCAAGGATCCCTTTCTCCTTAGTGAACTGGCCTGGTATTCCTGGCCCTGAGATGGGGGCTCCCACATCTGTCTTGGAAGAGGCCAGAGTGAAGCTCCTTCCAAAAGTAGGGATACCCATCACCAGCTTATTGGCTGGAGCCCCCAGCCTCAGCATGTAGCTCACAGCGTAGTCCTGGGTGTGGAAAGGGCAGGACAGTTTGATCAGTTAGTCTAGGAGAGAAAAGGTCATGCAATTCCCACTGCTGCCTTGAAAAGAGTTCCAGATCTAGATGCATCTGGAATTCCCTTCCTTCTGGGAACTTATAATGTCAGTCTAAAAAGCACTGTACAGTTTCCATCTTAAAGAAATCCTCTTAGGTTTAGGAAGTTGCTGTTTGGTAGTTGCAGAAATCAGGTGACTGGCTCAAGTTTCATAGCAAGCAAATGGCAGGGCTGGACTAGACTCTTGGCTTCTCAGCCCCCATCTCTCTTTTGCTGTCTCCCATCTGCCCTGTGCCTTCACCCTATAGGCCCGTGAGGAGATATCTTGATTCTTTATGTAAGCATCACCTCCTCAGTTCCCAGAGCCATGGAGAATGCATGAACGTTGCGCCTCAGATTCCTCATCTGTGAAGTGGGCCCCTAACCCCTCCCTTACAGGATTACCAAGGAGTGGAGAGGTTGGTGTGTGAGCTCCAGCAGGCGGCAGGTCTCTGTGGCCCCCTCTCAGCTTCCCCTCCTTTGGGACACTCACAGCGTTACTGAATCTGTCAGAATGTGCATCTTCCTGGCCTCGAAACAGGGGGCTGTGATGTCCTACTGTCTGACGCCAGGCTCCGTGAAAGTCATAGGTCAAAAGGCTGATGAAGTCCAGGTGCCTATAGAAGAGTGGATGCAGGGCAAGGAGAAAAGTTTAAAAGCACACCACCCCCACAGGATGTGAGCAAGAAAAACAGGCAGCCATTAATCCAAAATCTGGTAGAACCCAGTGAGCAGACTAGGCTGCTGGACCTCGGCTCCTGCTCAGGGTCCCACAGGAGCATTCAAAGCAAAACAGGGCTCTTGCTATCTGCTCCCAGGACACAGCTGGGAGCTGCCCTCCAGCACACCTCAATCCCTACTCTCCAACCATAGTCATCTTTGAGAAAGCAGATTAATGTCATCAGTGACTAGCCTTGTGGGGAAAGAGCAGGACCAAAGGATGGCCTGAAACTATGATTCCTTGTAAGATGGAGTAAGGTTTCTACACACACAGATTAGGGGTCTCCAGGTGGATTGCATGACTATGAGCTTTAGGTGTTTGGGGCAAATGATTGACAGCCACCTCATTCCACCCTCTAAGTGATCACTGATCACTTGACCACCCTCAGTGATCAATGCAAAGAAATAGAGGAAAACAATAGAATGGGAAGGACTAGAGATCTCTTCAAGAAAATTAGAGATACCAAGGGACAATTTCATGCAAAGATGGGCACAATAAAGGACAGAAATGATATGGACCTAATAGAAGCAGAAGATACTAAGAAGAGGTGTCAAGAATACACAGAAGAACTGTGCAAAAAAGATCTTCACGACCCAGATAATCATGATGGTGTGATCACTCAGCTAGAGCCAGACATCCTGGAATGCAAAGTCAGGTGGTCCTTAGGAAGCATCACTAGGAACAAAGCTAGTTGAGGTGATGGAATTCCAGTTGAGCTATTTCAAATCCTCAAAGATGATGCTGTGAAAGTGCCACACTCAATATGTCAGCAAATTTGGAAAACTCAGCAGTGGCCACAGGACTGGAAAAGGTCAGTTTTCATTCCAATCCCAAAGAAAGGCAATGCCAAAGAATGCTCAAACTACCGCACAATTGCACTCATCTCACACGCTAGTAAAGTAATGCTCAAAATTCTCCAAGCCAGGCTTCAGCAATACGTGAACCGTGAACTTCCAGATGTTCAAGCTGGTTTTAGAAAAGGCAGAGGAACCAGAGATCAAATTGCCAACATCC